TTACGATTGTACAACTCTTCATTCACGAGATGAGCAATTCCCCAGCTGGATTCACTGGCCGGTATCTCATTTGCTTTCAGCCAGGCACCATTGGCATATTCAAAAAAGTCGTCTGCAGGATTGGCGGTGCTGTCCATATTGGTGACCAGGATATCTCCTTTTTTCACTGCCTGCCCACTATCATTGGTACAGGCCGCAAGCAGGGAGATAGCGGCAACCGGCACTAAGAGTTTCTTAATCATGTATTTTCAATAATGTGCAAATGTATAAACAGGAATACTACTTGCAATAGGTAATTTAAGGGGGATGAATTCCAGTTTTTCACATGGCGGTACGATCCTGTTTATACTATAATCTGTTATTCGGGGAAGGAAAGATATGAGGCCACACTTTTGCCAACCGCAGCGTTGCCTTTGCTTTCAGACAGCGCTATTACAAGGCAATAAAATATAGATGATTTATTAAAACTTAAAAATATCACACCTAATATGGAAATTATAAATTTAATACAGATGCAAATTAACATTCAGGCCTCCATCCCTGCTCTTTTTGGCTGGAAATGACTATTTTACCGCTTAATTTATATCGGTACTACATAGATTGCTAAAACATTCAAACAAAAAAAACATATAAACAATAATCAACGAATGAAAAGATTTCGACTTCTTTTATTTGCTTTTGCTGTATTATTTTATCATCCGTTATTTGCCCAGCCATTATCCGGCACTTATACAGTTAATAATACAACGGCAACCGGGGGTACCAATTTCAATAGCTTAACGGATGCCATCAGCGCGCTTAATACCAATGGTGTGGTTGCCGCGGGCGCCATTTTTAATGTTTCTTCCAACCAGACATTCCTGGAAACACCTCCTGCTTTGACAGCATCCGGCACGGCGGGTGGTTATATTGTGTTCCGTAAAAACGGAACCGGTAATAACCCGGTTGTAAAACCAGCCACGCCGGGCAACGTTTCTACCTCGGCCCATGGTGGCCATGGCGATGGTGTGATCCGTATTGCAGGTGGCGATTATATTGAGTTCAATGGCATTGACATTGACACCAATACTGCTTATACCACCAACGCCACCAAGTACGAATATGGGTATTATATACTCAGGGGCAGTGCTACAGACGGGAGCAAGTTTGTGACGATCCGTAATGCGAATATTAAATTGTATCCGGGTCTGCTGTATTCAGCGGCTGTTTACGTGGCGGTGTACAATGCTACCGGCACGTCGATGGTACCTACCAGTACCGCAGGCAGGCATGAAAGTATTACGATCCGTAAAAACAATATCTCCAGAACGTACAATGGTATTTTGCTGCGGGGCTATAATCACGCCACAACCCCTAACGATCTGTATGATCACTTTAACCTTGTAGACAGCAACCAGATTGAGGAGATCGGCGGCGCTGCTACTGAGTGTTTTGGCATTAATACTATTTACCAGGACAGTGTGCAGATCGTTGCCAATACGATTAAGTCACAGGTAAATGGGGCGACCTGTAATGGTATCCGGCCGGAGACAGGTATAAATTCCAGCATTTCCATTAGGTATAATACCGTCTCCATTCGCAATAGTTCAGGTACGCTTGCCCCCATTAATAATGCCTGCGGTGCCAGCGGCACCAATAATTTTATTGAAATCGCCTATAACAATGTTGAAAACTGTGTCACCAGCGGCAGCATATTTTATGGTATCTATCAAAGTGTACCGGGAGCCTTGGTGCATATTGCCAACAATAATATACGCAATGACACCTGTACAGTTGGTAGTACCTCCATGTATATTATGTGGAGCATCCCGGGAGCGGGGGGCGTCAATCATATATTTGGCAACCAGATTTACAATATTGTAAACACGGGTACTACCGGCAGTGGCACTATGTTCCCAATGATCTTCAATACCGGTGGTGATACCCGGGTTTATAAAAACAATATCCACGATATTACAACCAACAGTGCAAGTGGCGCCATCTCCATACGCTCCAATACGCCGAACTTCTACATGTACAACAACTTCATCCATAGTTTGTACACACCTAACTCAACCGGGGCCAACGCTATTTTGGCCATAGACCTGAATAGCGGTGCTGCCAATCAGAATGTTTTTTACAATACCGTGTACCTGAATGCGACCAGTACTTCCACCACCAGTTTCGGCGCCCATGCTTTGTATATTTCCACCTCGGTAAATGCTGATGTAAGAAATAATATACTTATCAACCAGTCTGTGCCCGGTCCCACCAGTGGTATTGTTTCTGCCTATAGAAGAAGTAACACTACGCTTACCACTTATAACGATAGCTCTAACAACAACTGTTTATATGTAGGTGCAGCACCTGTTGCCCGGCAAGGACTGCTTTCCGATGGTACGAATCTCCCACAAACGATTGCCGCCTATAAGGCATTGGTAGGCCCGGTGCGTGATAGTGCTTCTTTTTCAGAGTTGCCGCCGTTTGTAAATATTACCACTGCGCCTTACGACCTGCACTTATCAAGCGCGGGTACCTCGGCCTGCATTGACGGCGCTAAGCGGGTAGCCCTGCCTGC